AATCCTTTCAAAATAAAATACAATAGCAGAAACTGACACAGGGACACTTGGGAGTTGCTTTTTCTCTCTTCAGAAGAAAAGGGTGGGCAAGAAATGTAAAAAACAATGGAAACAAGTTGGTTTCATTAAAAGGTAAAACGAGAATTTAAATACAGTAGTCCCTCGCTACTTCACGGTTCGACTCATTCTTTCATGGTTTTTGAAAGTAAGATTGTACACGAGAAAAATGTACGACACAATTGCCAACTTTTAATATTACGTGATACAGTAAAAAGTTGGAAAAAAAAAATTCAGACGGGTGCCTGCCGCCACTTTGTAGTTTTCTCTCGATAAGCTTACACTGTATTGACACTCAAAAGGACTACATTTTCCAGAAGACAACGGTGAAAAGACGACGCCCTTAATTCCCAAAAGTGCTTCCTTGATTTAAATGGATTAGTTGACAGAACTGTTTTGGTTTGTTGTTCCAATTCAGAAATCTCAATTTAACGTGTTAAATAAAATAAATACCGCGTTTTACTTTGTTGTTTTTCACTTAGTGCGGGGGTGTTCGGAACGTAACCCCTGCGATAACTGAGGGTCTACTGTATTCATAAAACACTGACCCACCTCTAATCCTGACAGGAACTCTCAGCTTTATTGCTGCAGGCGTTTCCTTCCAGCACCAAAAAAATAATTTAAACAACCGATGACCCGAACAGCTTTTATCAGCTAAAGAGACATTTCTACTCTGACAATAAATAAATGTTAAATACTGAATTGTAAATTAGTATAGAGTCAGCTGAATGAGTTGCTCCAGTCAGAATGAAAGCTTCTCCCTCCTTCAAACATCTTATCGACAGCAGGTAAGATATTAATAGTTCATAAGTGTCCCCTGAGTTTTAAAACGTTTGAACTGGTTGTAAATCACAGGTCTGAGTAGTCGTTGGGCAAATTCTTCATTTAGTAAATCATGCGTAGGGATCTTTAGGTTCACGTTGATAATTATTGCTGTGAACTCGTTTAGATATTCCCAACTAAAGCTTTAATTTTTTTAAATCATAATAAACTGATGCTCGCAACAAAACGAAAGAATTCTCATTAAAATCTCATCTTCCTTTAATTTACAAAGATAAAACGACAGAACAGTCCACGTTTCTGTGGGCAGACGCCATCAGAGCTGTTATTACAGCTGCAGGAGGCGCGTCACCACGCCCGCCTGTTTACCGTCACCACGTTGATTAGAGTCAGCCAAGCCTCTGTTTATCCATGCAGCACCGGTACTTGTGGATGTACGGTAACAGGAGTGGTTCTTTTTATTTATTTGTTTTTATCCCTCTGCAGTGACAGAAATCCACAGTTTGACGTGCGGCGTTCATGTAAATGACAGAACAGGGTATTTACCCCTGAAGTTACTGCATGCATCTGCTCCCGCGTCGCCGGCTTTCAGGATGCTGATGGAGCTCGAGTTTAACTCTTTAACTCTGGACAGGAGGGAACAAACACCTGTAGACAACAAAGAGAGGAAAATGTTCAGTATTCTGCGTCGAGTCTGGAGTTACAGAAATGTGGCTCCTGAGGGAATCAGCCGAGTGAGACGTTCCAGGTCAGCCCATCAGATCGCCATCTTTTGTTTCTTTTTTTGGAGTGTTCGATAACAGTTCAACTCCTCCTTGCTTTTGTTTTGTATTGATGGAAGATTAAAGAGTCGCGCTTGATTTGTGAAGAAAGTGATGTTAGAAAAAAAAAGATTTATGTTTAATTATTCATCTTGTGTTGTAATTAATTGTGTTTATTGTGAGAATGCAAATATTAAAACTAGAGAAATTGCATTTCTTGCAAAAATGCAGTGTGAAAGCTTATTGCTGAAGAATGTGCTGAAAAACAGCTGAAATTGGCTAAAAAAAAAAAATTCTGAAATGGAAAAACAAGCCTAAATTAGCAGAAGAATGTAGATAAGAAATGAGCACAAAAATTAGGGAATTACAATACTGTAGCTAAAAAAAGGCTGAAATTGGCAACAAAAAGAAAATGACTGAAATGAGATTAAAAAAATGCTATAACTAGCATCAAAACAGCTAAATAGTAGCTGAAACAGCAGAATTTACCATGAAAAACCTGAATTTGTCTCCACTAGCTAAAAAGGTTGAACAAGCTTAAATTAGCAGTAGAAAGCAGAAAGAACATGTTTGCCCAAATATGCACAAAAAAGTGGAAATTATCTGGAAAAAAGCTGAAATAACAAAACAAAAAACTGCTGAAAAGTAGCTAAAAAGGCAAAAATGAAGCTTAAGTTACCAGATGGAAGTGGAGCGATCACATTTTTGCTTAATTAGGCTGAAAAAAGTTGAAATGGGTGAAAAAAATGTGGAATTAGCCAAAAAAAGCTCAAATTCGCATTAAAAAAACAGCTAAATCGTACGGTAGCTGAAATAGCAGAAAAGGAGCATAACAAGCTGAAATTGGCAGAAAGAAGTTACGAAAAACACAAAAATGTTGTAGTTGGCAGAAAGAATCTAAAAGAATCACAAAACAGGTTAAAAAAACATCAGAAAGTAGCTAAAAATAGTTTGCACAAGGAAGCTGAACCAGAACAAAACGTGAAAGGAGCAGTAAAAGGTTGTAAACACATCTAAAGATATGAAGGATGTAAAATGAGCTCAATTCATTTTCTATGAGAAAAAAAAATGGCAAAGGCTAAATATTTAAAAAAGCTAAAGCTGCACCAATACCAAAAGTCATAGCACCGTTCTCCTGAACGAGCTGAATGTTTTGATACATGATTTGTTGAAATGGCATAAAAATTATGGAACGAGAAAAATGGATGACGGTGGAGTGAACGCTTCATAAACATTTAAACAAACGCAGATCGTTTTAAACTAAGATCTTCCGACGTTGAGAAATATTTAAGCTGTTTCTGTTCTGGACAACCTATTATCACATGTGATGGTGCTCAGAGTGTGCGTTGGGAGTGACTCTCAGCTACTACCACGCTGTAAAACTGACCGACTTACGGCCACTTTTATGTTTTCTGACGTCATTTAATTGTGGCGGCAGCCTTGAATGAAGTTGTCTGGAACGGTGAATCGATTGTAGACGTACGTCCAGTGATCACTTTCAGGTTTTCATTCAAATCTGTTCAGTGGTTCAAGAGATATTTTGCTAACAGGCAGACAATCTTTCAACAGTGATAGGCTGCTCAGTACATTTCAAGCAGTTTTTAGCCCCATCATGTTGCTGCTCAAATGTGACTAAGTGTCAAACGTTACATTTGGGTGGGAACAAACCGTTTATTTGCTAAGATTCAATAGTCATTTTAAAATGTGTTATTTCCTACATTGTTGTTGAGTTTAGAAGTAGAATATTAAACAAATGTTCAAAAAAAATGATCCGGTATTAGATAAAAGGGAAAAACGCAGCTGAACGCCCTCCAAAATGTTTCCCCTGATCAGAAACGCTTTTAAAGACGATAAAATCTGATTTCTTGAAAGAAAAACGCACGGCGTGATAAAAACAAGGGCTGAAGACTTTTGCACAGTCGTGCAGTTTCAGCACTAGAGGGCAGCGCCGCCGCTCAGAAACAGTCGTCTCACTGCACCGAGTGACTTGTGACTGTGCTGACTGTTTTCACAGCTTCCCAACAAAAGACAGACGATAAGATCTGTGTGAACGGGCGAGGCCATTGTTTGTTTGTTCCTCTTTCAGAAAAAAAGGAGATACTGGAAGTGAAGCAGACGGATGGCTGTGCCAGAAGGAAACATTCCTAAAAATAAACACGAGTTATTTAAGTTATTTAAGGTTTGAGCTGAGAAAAACTGAATATTACAAATAAATACAGCTGAAGAGTTCATTTTTTTTAAAGAAGGGAGTCTAATGGACCAGCGAGTGGTTATAAAAAATAACTTTGATCAACCTTTAAAGATGAAGTTAGTACAGAGTTGCTATTTCCAGCAACAGGAGCTAAATGGATTTCAGCTGTTTAGCTCGAACTTATGCAGATTAAATATAACCTGAACATCATTCTGCCTCTAACCAATGGAAAAAGTGAAAAATAGCTGCGGTATTTTGCATAATTTACACGTTTTTATCGGACTATAAGGCGCATTAAGCAAAACAAAAGTCATAAGTCAAATTTTATTCAACCTATTCACAATAACCACATTAAACTGGTTTGAGGTCAGTAAGTACAACCGGATTATAAGGCTCACTGTCAATTTTTGAGAACATTTAAGGATTGTAAGTGCGCCTTATAGTCTGAAAAATACGGTGTTTTAAAGCAACCAAAAAAAATCAATTATGATAAAAATAGTTTAACTTTTTTTAATCATTTGGGTAGTTAAAATAGAAGTAATCAGTATTATAAATAAAACTGACAGAACTTACAGTTAAAGGAAATGTTAATAAAAAAACGGCCTCGTGTGTTTGGATTACCAACAAGTGCTGCATATAAACAATAACTCTCTAACCTCTTATTGTTAGACTAACAGCTGAGGCTTCAAACACTCTTACAATGAATGTTACCGTATTTTTCGGGCTATAAGGCGCACTTAAAACCCTTTAGTTTTATCAAAAATTAACAGCGAGTCTTATAATCCAGTGCGCCTTATGTATTAATTCTGGTTGTGCTTACTGACCTTGAACTGATTTTATGTGGTACACGTAGGCCTGTCACGATAACAAATTTTACTGGGCCATTAACTCTCAGAAATTATTGCAATAAACGATAACATTGCTTGAAATTTGACAATAATTAGTAATTATTGTCAAATTTAAGAACAAATGTTTGGTAATTTGTTTTGCACGTAGTACCTTTTTTTCAACCACCGGACGGCAGTATAAGACCGTTTGAACCGAAGGATGGATAGTGAGGGAGCGAGCAGCGTGTCTCTTTTTTAAGAAAAATGGGAAGGAGGCCCCTTGACGTGACATGGGCTGTCTCTCTTTGGTTCTCAAAACGGCGTACGCTCGGCAGAGTTGCATTCAGGCCCAAAAAATCTGATCTGACCCGGCCCCAGCCCGCAGTCATAATTTCCAAACCCCACCCGACCCATCGAATGAACAGCAATTACAGGTCCAAAACCAGAAAAAAACAAAACATTTTTTATTAGTTATTAACGGTCGGGGACGTGCAGCTGAATAAACGGGGCAGAAGATTCGGAGCTGAGAGGTGTTTGTCCTTTCATGGCCGTAAAAAAGCATTTAAACCCCGTTTCTGCCTGCATTCTTCTGAATTACTGAGACACGCGGACAGCTCTGACACGCCTCTGCTTTGGGATCTCACCTGTTTGGGTCATCGGCCGCGCGCGCCCGCTGAGTGCAGCGGCAGAATGAACGTCCATTTGGGCGATGGATCGCTGCCTGGCAGTACAGTCCCATCTGAAGCTTAACAGAACTTTTTACCTCTTTCAAGGCCGGTCAGCTCGCAGTGAAATGGCCGCATTCGGCTGGTGGATGTATGGCAGGCCATGTTATTATATAATTGTATCGTGGCTGATCCTGACCTAATTAAAAGCCAGAGACCGACCCAGCCCGCCCATTAATCACATTATAACGGCCCGGCCCCAATCTGGGTCGGTCTGGGCTGAGTTTCAGGTTTGGGTTAGAAATGACAGCTCTAACGCTCGGTGTGGTTTGAGCTCTTTAGCATAGCATCTTTCACACAAAGCTTTTAATACAAAAATCAGTAAACAAGTTCTCAGCTTCTTTTTGCAGAGAAAAACAACTTTTTACACGAAGGAACGGGTTTCAACCGTGAATTTTGGAGCTTCGACAAGACAAAGTGAGGTCGATAATTTTCATTTATTATGCAATTAATTGATTTATTGTTTATCACAACAGGCCTAGGTACACAGCACTCAAAAATCTGTCAATGTTTTTGTTTCGCTTTATGCGCCTTATAGTCCGAAAAATACGGTATTATTATTATTATTGTTATAATTATCATTTTACTTATATTCTATATCAAAAAGCAGCCAACTGCAGAGTTTGCTCAGACAAATTCTGGTCCCTGAGCAAAGTTTCTTGTTAAATTATAATTGTTTTCCACTCTTTTGGTAATAAATCTTAATAAATTGTAATAAACTGTGCTCGGTGAGAGTGAACCCAGAGATCCTGACTGAGAACGTTTACATCCAGGAGAAATGGTCGACTTGCTACTTTAACTTCAAGACGTTTATATGAAAGTATAAGCACGTTATATTATTTATTTTTTAGGAAGGCTACAAGACGATAACGAAGGGCAGGAATGTGTTAATGACACACAGCTGGAGCATCCGTGTAGAAAGATTTTTAAAAGATTAGACGCCGGAGACTTGAGCAGCGCGACGAACGCAGGCAGCTTGACGTGTGCGCGTTAAGCTTTAAATCTCAACTCTTTGACACTTCCCCGACACGTTTTTAACACTGTTGTAAAAGTCTGAGCCAGCTCAGACCGGGCGCCATAAACCAACCCATCTGGGCCGATCACACCCAACCAGTCCCACCTGAACTATTTTCCGACATCGGGCTGAAATCCACTCATCGCTGTTTGATTGCATTTTTGCTTTGCTTCAGGGCAGAAAGATGATCTATTTTAATCCGTTTCCTTCTGGCAGCAGATGACTTGAGCTTTTAATTTTGCATTTCCTGCTCTCCTGGCAGCGCTCAGGTAGTGATAAGACACCGCCCGTTTACCGACAAGCCCAGCGACACTTCCTGTTCTCAGAAACGGAGCGGCTTCCCCTCAGCTGGAGCTTCAGATCAGGAGATAGAGCAGCTGAGCAGCCGTATCGGCTTCTTTGCTATTTTTAATCTCACCGAATCGTTGCTCGTCATTAAGTTCTGCTCCAGCCTGCAGAACTCGTCTGCTCGCCCCGGTTCGGGTCTGATGACGTCACCTCTGAGGGTCCTGTGAGGACTCCCACAGACCACGGTGTCAAATCAGCACCAGAACGCCACCCTGACTCACCCCCTGACGGCGCTGAATCAGCCCACCCGCCGGCCCCGCGCCGGCTCTGGCTGCTGGGAAGACGGGGACGGGACCAGCGATTTTAGGACTCGCCACAATGACTGCAGATGTTTCGACGAAGCCACAACGTTTTTAACGTGCGTGTGACTCTGCACGGCAAAAACAACCGAATCTGAACAGAAATGACAGAACATTAAGGAAGTGGAAAAAAAAAAAAAATCGACTTATTTTGCATTCAATGAAACTTTTAGACTCTTGTCTGCATACAAAAGGAAAAAGTTTACATTTCTGTCTGTTAGCAAAATATCTCATGAACCACTGGATTGATTTTAATGAAACTTTCAGGAAATAATCAATAGACGTATATTTACAAATCTTTAACTTTTGGGGCCAACCCAATGTTAGATGGCTGCCACAGCCAACTCACCATAGAAATAACAAAAATGGTTTTAACATGGTCAGTTTTGCCAGTATTAAGTTATAACTTGGTGTGGTAGTAGCTGAGAGTCAGTCAATCCTTGTTGGTGCCAACCTGGTTTCAAAGTAGGTTTTTTTTCAAGCCAAACTTTAATTTTCTCACTTTTTTTAAATTGACTTTCTACCGTTCGGTTAACACGATAAAAACGAGTGTGCGTTTGCACCTGTTTGGGTCTCAGAAGAAGTTCTTGATGAGGGGAGTGACCAGTTTCACCCACAGCTTGACGTAGCGGTCGGGCCGCTCGAACGTGGAGCCGGACACCTCGGTGGAGCGCCGGTACAACATCTCCTGCTCCTGGCAAAATAAAACACAGGTGTGTGTTCAGGGTGGTGTTACGCACTCATTTGTCATCGTTTATGGCGATGCTTTTTAGGGAGGGGGGGGGGTAATGAGCAGACCTCCTGCAGCTGGCTCTGCAGCTCCTCGTTCTCGGTTACTATGGCGATCTGGGCCTCCAGGTCACGGTGAACTGAGCGGTAACCAAAATTAGGGGAACCAATTAGAGTGAGGCAAGGCCGATCCTGGCCCTGGAGGTAATACCACAGTCCTGTAAAGAGAGAGAGACGGAGGGGGGTGTAATCAGAGTTAGAGGGGAGGTAATTCTTCAGAAGAGTTGTTTCCAGCAGATTTCGGTCGACCAAAACCACAACTAAAAGGAAGCACATGGAGAAAATCCCCCACATCGGTCCAAAAAGTCCAAATATGAAGCGTGAGGGAGCATCCTTGTCCTGAGGCTACGACAGAGTGACTGTGTGAGCTTTAATATCCTAACCTACATACCACTTCACCCACATACCGAAGAAGATCGTTTTCACCCCAGCCCTTCATCTGGACTGGAATATTGTTTTAACACGTGGAGGTTTGTGTGAGAAAAGAAAGACAGAAATGGTGCGTTCAAGAGTATAAAACTTTAAATATATATTCGTGGAACAAGAGCTCAAGATTTGAGCTGCGCACAAGTCAAATAAAACTCATTATGAGTGAGAGCTGCGTGAAAGGATGCAGCACAAGTCGTGTGGATGAGTCATCAGTCGGGTTTAATTTAGGACACAGTCCAAGTTTACTGTAAAAGGTGGCCTAGTTTCAATTAACAGAGCCAAAAAAAACTATTTAAAAAAAAGATGATGATAAAAAGAGTATTAAACGCAGCCTTTGCGTTCGATTTGGTTTCTGAGGAACAATAAAGACACACACAAAAAAAGGAAATGTTTATGGGAAGACGTCAAAAGAAGTTGACTCAGGTTAACAGGAATTGCTGAAAAACACACAAAAATAAAAAAATAAATAAAAACTGCTAACCCTGAACAGATACTTCCTGAGATAAGGACGACAGGCGTTTGACAGAAATCCTTTATGAAGGCGATTCACCACAAAAACACGTTTTTATTTCGATTTTCTGTCAGGTGACATTTTAAAAACTTTACTCGAGTTACTCGGGCGGCTGTGGCTGAGTGGTTGGAGCAGTCATCCTCCAATGCAAAGGTTGGGGGTTCGATTCCACCAGCCAAAGTGTCCCTGGGCAAGACACTGAACCTCTGATGTGTGTCCCATCAATCAGTGTATGAATGTGATAAAGCTCTGATTATTCTGTGTAAAGATCTAGTAAAGTGTTGTATGAGTGGGTAGATGAGGACACAGATTGTGTTGTAAAGAGCTTTGAGTATCTTCATAAGATAGAAAGGTGTTATATAAGTACCGTATTTTCCGCCGTACACGTTGCACCGCCTTATAAGTTGTATCTATTATGTGTCACTGCTGACGTGTTGTGTTTGTTACACGTCACCGCTGACAACCCAGAAATGTGGGCCGGTGTTGTGCCAAAAATAGATTGGCTGCCAAATGGCGGCCACGGGAACATGCACAGGAGGACTTTAACAAGAATTTAACAAGATTAACACTTAAAAACAATTATTTGTTTGCTCGACATTATGGTAAAGGTGCGTCTCAGTCTAACTTTTACTTAATAAATGCACTTCAGTGGTCAAATTAGCTGCATTTCATCGGGTCGGCGCAAGCCGATTGTGTCATTAATAGCCACTTTTACATGACACAATGGCATGCCATACAACTTGAGTGCCATCTAGCGGCTGAAAAGGTTAGTGTTCAATATCTGAATGAATGAAAACAGTCATATCTCAGCCAAAATTTGGTTTATAAATATGGGGGAAATCCATAAATATGTCACTTGGGCATATAAATTGCAGGACATGCAAATTATGCAAAAAAACTGCGACTTATAGGCCGAAAAATACAGTACAGTCAATTTATCATTTAAACAAAATTGTTCCTAAAGACATTTTCATCTCAGTTCAGCGTTTTTTTTTTTTAATCCAACGTCACTTCCTGACTCAAAAGCTTTAATTAGCAAAAAACATGACTGAGTGAAAATTTTACCCCTTAGTGAAAGAAAATCCACTCTTACATGGTCAGAAGTGTTTTAAAATGTAAATAACCAGTGGTTTACAAACTTTACCGCGCAACAAACCGTGCAGATCCTCAGGTAACGTCACCAACATTTAAATCTACTGTAAACCAATATGCTGATGTGCGCAGCAGAAAGTCGGTGTGCGTTTGTTTCGCCTACCTTTAGCATGAAACGTCCACTGAGACCTGTGGTACTCGTGCAGGTGGACCCTCTCCTCCTGGCCCAGATGGCACACCTGGTTGTAAAACTGCCTGGCGATGTGAATGTAAGCAGCCGGGATGGCACCGGCGACGCCTTTGGCCCCGAAGAACCCGTTGACCTCGGGGGAGGCGGTCAGGATGCGGTAGCTGGCTCCGGCCCCGAGCACCAGCCGCATGTAAGCGCGGGTCAGGTTGAAGTAACCCGATGTTAGGTACACAGTGGAGTCCGGCTCGGCGTCTGTCAGCAGGCGCTGGAAGAGAAGAGACGAGTTACAAACGGTTCTTTCGTCATTTTCTACCTCACAACCTTTTATTGTGTAAATTTGTTTTCCTTTGGATTTTTGGTATGTTTTTGTAGTCCAACTACTTCTGCATACTTTAAGCTTCGTTAACCGCTCGTATATGAAAACATTTAGCTCGTTCAAGAGATGGCTGCTTTAACTTCTGGTTTTTGTAACATTTATACTTTTTAAAATACTTGATTTATCTTCCACATATTTGCTGCATTGAAACACATCCAGGTCTGCTTTTTAAATCCTTAAGAAACATTCTTCTCTTTGAAATTTGTTTCAGCATATTTTCTATTTATCCTCATACATCTTAAGCTACTTTTATGTTTTAACCAGCCTTTTGCTACTTTTACCTTATAGCAACCATTTTGTACTTTGAGCTTTTGCTACTTTTCTTTTAGAACTATTATTTTTCTACTTTAAGACATTTGTTACTTTAGTTTAGCTACTGTATTATGATTATACTATATTATTTATTTGATACTTTAAGTATGTCAAATCTTTTGCTACTTTAAGATTTTAACTACCGTAGCTTTAGTTACTATTAGTGACTGGCTGCCTTTGTGCCACTTTTAGCTTTTAGATAGCATTTTGCTTCTTTTAGCCCATCCATCCATCCATCCACCCCCCATCCATCCATCCATCCATCCATCCATCCACCCCCCCATCCA